TTAGTCCAAACATAACTTTTGAAACTATATGAGAATAATGTGAAAAATCGCTAAATCACGTGAGAGTCAAGTGTATTTTATCAAAGGAGTGCTGTGAACAAATATGAAAGTGTCGGCCACGCATTATTTGACCTTTACAAGTGTAAAGGACGAACAGAGTAAAATTAATCTCTAATTAGTTAAAAATGAGAAATCAATCTAAATCAAAGCCAAATACCAAATATTCAAAGATTTGATTTCCCATTTGGAAGGAACAATTATTGAGTACTACCATGGAATAATTTGTTGGAATAAAATCCAAGTCAAACATGATAAAGATTACCTTGCTGTTAGCAGGAGATTTGGTATATCAGGGCCAAAAACAGAGGACTCCTTGATCAAGTCCAGCTGAGCAGTCATTGACCTTCCAGCTGAATCAGTCCCTACTGACTTGATTACATAGCCATAACCAACAGCCTCCTCAGTTTCTTGAGCAGCAAAAAGGGATATCTGGTAATTGAATACAAGTACCAAGAGCCATTGGAATTGTAGAAGAAACTGCAGATATCTTCTTCTTGCAGAAGATGATAGTTTTGATGTCATTTTTTCCTCACTCTGATCAGTAGCTTCGCTCACTAGAATCTGTTTAGCTTTGTCCCTTTTATAACTGCGGTTTTCTTGCTTCTCAGTTTTCACCACACAACCAGAAAACCAGAAGTTGTTGCCTTCTGAGCCTACATATTGCCCACACAGCCTGTTTTTTCGTTTGTTTTGTTTTGGCCTTTTTGGCTTCTCGTTTTTCTCATGCCAATGGATAGATTATTACAGGTCAGTGGTCAGTCATGGGAAAGTGAGACATTTGTCCTCATTGAGTGGTTGAACATAGATGGTCATGGAGGACCCAATAAAAAAAGTCTGAAAGAAAACACGTTAGTAGCTCAATTGCAAAGGAGACATGGGCATTCAGGACATGTAGACGCTATCCATCACAATCATGGTTAAATGAAGAAGTATGCAGATTTCCTTCAGAAAATCTTAATTGAAGACTTATTTGACACGAAGCAATAAAAAAAGGAGAAGCTGATTTGACAGAATTATCTGGCAGTAGGTCATGTGATTTTATCTAGGGAGCTGATTTTACATTATATTTACACACATATTTTAGGGAAAAAAAAGTATGGAATAAAAAAAAAAGTATTGATTAACATATTTATGCAGTTGCAAGATCTTATCCAATTTTATCATTAGGTTTTGGTTAGTAAGTGCAGGGTGGACATTCTAAGTGTGACATTAGGTGTTAATTTGTCTGAAAGATGAAATTAATTTGGAAATGTATCTCAATGCAGCATAGAATAAACGGATTTTATTGTGACAATAATCTTGTTTTAAAAAAAATATTTTCAAACTAATGCAGTTTCAAAATTTATTCCCTTGTTAATTTACTTGCTGCCATGTGGACTTCAAATCACGCTTAAACTTTTCTTCTTATCTTCGTTCTTTTCTTGAGAGGTACAATCCCCATTAAAATGTTAATAACTACTCTTAGGAGCTTAATTGCTAATTCACATTAGATGAATCCACAATTATTTTTAATAGTTCAAAATTTACTACTTGCCTCCAATCTCCAAAGTGAATAAAAATTCTTCTCCATTTATTATTGATTGTCTACTTCGAAATTTCTTAATATATGTGGAAATTTCTTAAATAGTCATAATAACTATCTTGCCATGTGTATGATGAAATGCCATATAGATAAACTAAAAATCTTTGGAGATCTATTTTTATTAATTCATGATTTTTCACTCTTAGAATACACAATGATAACTCTTCCAAATATCGACTATTAACTAAACTTGCTGTTAAATCTGGTGCTAAGTATGACTTAGATTCTCTATAATGGGTCAAAAAATGCAAGAAAAATTTCCTTGTCATTTCTTTTTTCCTTTAAAATGAAACTTTTATAGTTCACATTAAATTATGGTCATTATCTTGAAATGCTTATTAGTGTGCCATAATATCTGAATTTTCCGAACTTCTTGACATGTATGAAGTCAATAGTTCATCATTTATGATATTACATTTAACAGCAAATAAAAAAAAAGAAACTTGGTGATATAACAATCAAGAATAATGTTAGGGTGGAACAATGGCAGCCAATAAACAAAAGCATCATTGTCAAAAGATAGGATATATGTTTAACATGAGTTTGTTATTTGGTGCCATAAGAGTACACAATATTTGGTATGGTGTTACTATTATTTTCGTGAAAGGGTAAATTTTTTCTGTAAAATTATTGCAATTCAAGGGATAATTGATAACTTTAAAGCATTAATTAATATGGATTTATTTTCCTTTCTTAGTTTGGCTATAGTGTGCCTATAAAGCACCAAATAGAAAAAAAAAACATATAATATAAGAAAGAAAATAATTACGAGTGATTCTTTTCTTTTGATGGGGAGCCTATGTGTCAACAACAATTAGAAAAAACTGGAAGAATATTACTTTGGAATTATTTTCCAAGAAATAGATTATTTTGGCCAAAAACTCAAATTCGAGTTTTTTGCCAAAAATAATTAAGTCCTAGAAAAATATTCCCAAAGTAATTTGAAAAAATTACGCCCTTTTTAATAGATTTCATGCTACATGGACTTTTAATGCAAGTTATTGAGGGTCTGTTTGGTTGGAAGTAAAATGTTTTCCTTGGGAAAATATTTTCCGTGGAAGTAATTTTCCATGAAAATCATTTCCCTTTCATCATTTTCAGGTGTTTGGTTAGTTTATTGAAAATATTTTCTTACTTCATTTTTCTGGTGTTTGTTTAACTTTTGAAATATTTTCACTTTTATCTCTATCTTTACTTTCTACACATTATAACTACATACTTCTTCCCATGCAAAATAAGAAAATTTATCTCATTGTTTAACTTTGAAAAATCTTGGAGAAATGTATATATGAATAAAAAATATCTCCTTAAGCAATAAACAAATTGCTGGCCATTTAGTGTCAAATATCAATCACATACAATGCTTATTGTGACATATATCTTGCACTCTCACTGCTGAAAGTTTCTCTAGAAAAGAATATCCCTATTATACATAATTAATTACTAACATAGGATGAGCAGGATGAGATTTTTTTTTTATTTTGAATATACTAGGGGGAGGGTTGGGTGGTACGGGAGAGGGAGTGTAAGGAAGAGTTCTTGGGTTCGAGTCCTCCTGTTTACACTAAAAAAAAAAAGAACATACTACAAGATGTTTTTAGTAAGTTTGGAACATACTACAGGCGGGATGCATGCATTTCGGAAAACAACTTCAGTAAGTTTGGAAGGGAAGTTGTTTTCCATAAGATGAGTGAAAATATTTTACATAGGAAAATGTTTTCAGTAACTTTTGTGCAACCAAACACGGGAAATTAGGAAAATATTTTCCTGGAAAACATTTTCACCCGAAACAAACGGATCCTGAATGTATCTTCTTTTACTTTCTAATATGTACCCTATATACTTTCAACCCCATGTGACAATTGATCACCAACAATTGTCTTGTCCTATGAAATGCTAGTCTGCCTCGTACCATCAACTTCGAGCCGAAGGAAGTTGCATTGCTATTAAGGAAAATAGTGCAAAACGTCATTAATATTTCATCAAATGAACTTTTTTTGTCATTCAATTTTAAAATAGTAAATTACGTCTCTTACAAAATCAAGTCGATAAATTTTAATCCAAATCCAGGTTTTCAAAAATTTTTTACCTTAAATCTATTACTAGCCCATACATGATCATTTTTTTAGGAGTAAAAAGATTAAAATAACCTGATCCATATTCACTTTTTAGAAAGGAGGATCTAATCTGAATCATATTTCATATTTTTTTCTCTAAAAAAAGTAAAATCAAGCTTAATCTATATTTATTTTTGCCATTAAAATGGCGTGATCCACCTTCTTATATATAAAAAATAAAAAAAAAAATATATATATATATATATATACATATAGACCACATGGCGATTTTAAACTAAAAAGTGATCAAAAACTTAAATAGGAACAAAATTTTATTAATTTAAATTTATAAAAAAATGTAAAATTAACATTTTAAAAGTGATGGATAAAAAAATTCATTTGACTCAAAAACTATTGAACAATTTTCCCTTGCTAGTACTCAAGGAAGAAGACCAGTTAATGCTGATAGGCTCTTTTTTTTTTTGTCGGATACAATAGACTACAATATTCTACACTAAGAAGAGGGGGACCTGAAGCGACCCAAGGATAACCCAAAGAAGACTGAACCACCATTGAACCATACGAATCGCACCCGTATAGACTGTTGTTTAGCAAGCCCACGTATTATGACAATTGTTGAGAGACAATATTTGAACCCTTGACCTCCTACCCACCAAACCTTAATGCTTTGATGGTGGCCACCAGTTCAAAGTCTGGGTGGTTTCAGTTAATGCAGATAGGCTCGTACACAGCGAATAATGCATGCATTCCACTCGGTGTGCAGTTGCCAATTCGGTTTTACGCCAAAGATTCGGAGTTAAATAAAGGGTTAATTCCACTTTGTCCCCCCAAACTTTGAACGATTATCCACTTAAGTTCCTAAACTTCAAAATGGGACACTTAAGTCCCTAAACTTATAAATACCTCCCACTTAAGTCCCAGAACTTATAAAATGGGACACTTAAAACCCTAAACCCTTATAAAATGGGACACTTTGACCACCCACGGCATTCAGGATTTGTTAACAATTTTCTTTAAGTGGGAGGTATTTATAAGTTTAGGGACTTAAGTGTCCCATTTTGAAGTTTAGGGACTTAAGTGGATAATCGTCCAAAGTTTGGGGGGACAAAGTGGAATTAACCCTTAAATAAAACAAAGAAAAGTTCTTACACTGCAATTCCCGGGACTCTCATTGATCACGAGTTGCAACAGATTTACACCAACTCAATATATATTTTCCATAGAATTGACAGAAGCGCAAGAAACAAATAGTCTATTGAATTCGGAGGTAAAACGAATCATATGAAACGCATACTTGAATCACAGAAAGATGGATTATGCAGTAGTTTCACATCCGCACATTGCTCAATTGATCCGTATGATAATATATCAACCTGAAAAAATTGGATGACAAAACTGAAGAACAAATAAACGAAAAAATAAAAAGGTAAAAACTCAGCAGCCCCATACTAAAACAACAAAATCATGGGGCAAAATGAACTGCACATATCTGATTCCTTTTCAGCTGTTTTAGGATTTCTATAGACAATGGTTTAGCAAATGGTACACATGATTTCTAAAAACAACAGTTAAAAAAGATCCTCTCCTCTCCTGCACATTCGAATTTGCATAAGGAGTGATACATTGAAAGAGCAAACGAACTCCTGCAAGTCCAAAGTTACAAGAAAGTGAGATGGCTATTTTGATGTCTTCAGTTTCTCACTCTAAAACAGACGGAACGCATAGTACTAGTTGAGTCAGCATCAGAATATTTCATGCAGTGCACATGTTATCAAAGTTTCTACATCACATAAGCTGATTTCCACACACAAACTAAATTTCACGTCAGTGCAAAATACAAGCAAGCAGTGCATGAGAATCTCTTTCAATTGCTTGATATGATAAGATGCTTTCAGAACAACTGTTACACGTGTTCTTTGTTCCCTTATTCAAGAGGCACACAATCATCTTGACTAAAACATTGTCATAGCTAGTTAATAACCAACTGTAAATTTCTTATACAACCCATACCATTGAATCCTGAAACGATAAAAAGGGGATGGGAGCCTAGAAATTTGCAAAAGATAGCAGGTTATACAATTTAACAAGAATTACTCATCTTATTGAAGGTTCACCTAAGTCACTAAACAAGCACCCCCAATCAGAAACTCATTGTCATGAGGATGGCAAATGGTTGTATTTCGATATCACCCCTCAAATCATCCAGTGCGGTCGTGCTCAACATGGTGAGTTTCACCAAGTACCACATGTAAGCACACTTTAGAATTTTACACCTATTGTGCCTCTGAATCAAAATTTTGAACTAAGAGAAGCAAAAGGCCCCTAATAAAGACAAAATAGTATTTTCACAACATAAAATTCATGTACTCGAGTTTTGGAACGTCTGGAAGAGGAAACTGCGGTAGTAGCAATGGCACAAAGAGAGCATTACATGCTTCTGGTCGATCTTTTATACAACAACTCAACCACCCTATCCCAACACCATTCAGGTTGAAATACAAGTCAATAACATTGTGCTGTTAAATAAGCAAAGCTGTTAAATGAAGTCTAATACCATTCATCTACCAACAACTTTGACCTTTAAGTTCTCTTTCATTCTTGCTCTAAACTACATCATGCATCAGATATACAATATAAGGAAAATGACAACTAACTGATCCAAACAAAGGAAGTCAACCAGCTGTATCTTTCTCATACTTCCACCAAAAGAAAACAAAGCAAACTCAGGTAATGGGAGATAAGTAAAATCTTATAAATTTTTTTTTGGGAGGGGGGGAGGGGGGGGGGGGGAACAAAATGACGAAATATGACAATTCTCTTACCTCAATTGGAGGTATAACAATCCAATTATAGGCTTATGGCACCTCAGATTGTCCCAGCAGAGCTCTCAATATCACGATGAAGTCTGTTTGAAGGGGGAAAAGAATCCAAGTCAAATAAGAATCCACCGGAAAAGTAAAGAGAGACATTTTTCAAATGAAGGGATCATAAGAAGAAATTAACCAACTCTTAAGAACTCAAAAATGCGTGCAAGCTTCAACATATAACTACCTGGTTTTAGCTTGTAGAGTGCTAATATCAATTTTGGATAATGCCTCTGAAATTTGGGCATGGAATATCACAACCACTTGCCTGCAAATAGCACACAATGCAGTGCATGATGATCAGCTGAAGATGAGTAACTTAATGATATTGCGAGCACTTGTGGTAGAGGAACACTTTGACATTAGTAAGAAGGGATAATTCTCAGGGAGAATTCTCAACTTCTTATTAACACTAAAAGAACAACTGCTTATTACCATTTTGATGTTAATAATAAGGGAGAATTCTCAACTTCTTCACACTGAAAGAACAAGTTGATTAAATGAAGGTAGACTAATTAACCCTGTAAAATGAACTCAAAAAGGGATTGACTGCTTGGTATTAGAATTATGGCTAGATATGGGAGAGTTCATTTCTTACTGGATTAAATATTGTATTACTCTGCCAAATATCTGCTAATTCTCTAACCAATACTCTCTTCATTGTATACTACCAGATAAGTGGGAAATACAAGAAACACCACATGCAAAATAATGTAAAACAGATAATTCCATATTTCAAATTGAAAATTTCTTAATCCCAGAGGACTTTAAGTATAAACAGACTCCTGCTTTCTGTTTTTTTTTCCCCCAAAATACACAACTATTGACAAAGGAGTGCCAATACGTGAAAGCATTTTTCCAGATTAATCACAATAATAAAAGGTCGTTTGGGGGCCAACGGTCACAGTGAGGAGGGAGAATGGTGGGGGTGCTCGTGTTGATGTGCAATTTTGGTATTTTGGGGGTTGTTTTTGGGTGTGCTTTTTCGGGTGTTTCTACAAAACTAAGTTGTTTTTAGAGAGCTTTAAATTGTTACCACATATGGTGTTTATAGATGAACTTTGTACTTCTAAAACAGGCCAAAAACAGGCCTGTCAAACAGACCTAAGGATCATAGATACAGACCAGAAGAACATAGTAATAGGCTTACACCAAAAATTCCTGTCTATTCGCAAAAAACACAAGTTTCGTTTTCAGATGCAGACTACTAGGAGGTAGGTTCAATTCTTTTACCAACATATATTCAATCACAACATCCCTCTCACTGATAATTAACAAGCTAATATTTGATTTTGTGGTGAGCATTTTCCAACTTTACAACTATGGCTCTTCTGATAATTGATTATTGAGGCCCTGATACCTTAACATTTCCAGGTAACTACTGCCAACAGACTTAAGCCAATGGTATTGTGATCTGTTTTTCCGTTCAGCACTGAGATGATATATTAAGCTCTTGGGAATAAAGCCTCATAAGACAAAGAAACTTCGTTCAATGACCAGATTTGTCTCAAACTCAGCCTGTTCAACCTGAATAATTAGCTCTAGGAAATTCAACACATAAAAGAGAATCATACAAGATCGGCTCTAAGGTAGGAGGTGTACACTATCACAAAGCCAGAAGAAAAATCTGGTAGGCACACATGATTAAGTATGTCCTACATGAAAAAGGAGAGCTAGAGATAGAAGGGCAAGAAAAAGGTGACATGGACTCCTTATGATGTCAAAATTAGATCAAACCTGAAGATAGATTGAACTTCAAACTCATGTAGAGTACGGGATAAGACACGCTGTAGAACGTTAACTTCCTGCAAAGAAAGTAGACATCCACAAACTGTCAAAGCGAACTCGTATTTGGACACTGTGCCAAGCAAACCCTTCACTCAAAATCCAAACCAATCGTAGAGATGAATGAATACAAAAACAGAGATATTGTAACTAACCTAAACTGAACAATGAAACAGGTTCTGGAACTCTATCAAGAGCAAACATTCATTTCAATAAAGGCCAGAAAGAGTTTTCACATCAAGATGTCTACATTGAGCTCAAACTGTGAAGCAGCGGAATGGCTACTTTCAGTCATGTCTCCATACTTTTTCCCCATCTCCAGTGGGGCGTGAGTGCACATGACAGACCTAACTAAAACTAACATTATGAGAAGGCAGGAGACTCAGTGCAAGCTGAGAAACTGGAATGGCTGAGGTTTTCATTTCTGTCTCAGATTGGAGTTAATGACCACAGTTTCATGTCGATTTCCCCATTGGTAAAAGGAAAACTTCTGTCAATATTCCAAAAGGCTCTTAAAATGTAAACATAAGGAACTTTTTTGTAAAAACTCAAGGCAGAAAATTGATCAGAAACCGATGTATTACGAGGCACAAGATGATTACTATCCCATGGTCTAACTAATAAGAATCACAGCCCAAAATCTTACAAGAAATTTAATATGCTGATGCTAAAAAATAAGAATTAAAAGCTTATACAGTAGTTCTTAACAGCTTCAACATAGTGGTTTAACTGATTGATCCAATTCTTTTGCCACAGGTTGTGTCTTAGCAATGTTACATGCATATATGCATTTTCATTTCAAGCATTTCTGGGTTAAAGCAAGTCCCAATTTCTCACGAAGAAAAATTTCTCTGGTTCACCAAAGGAAACCTCTAGGATTAAACCTTCATGGTTTACCATTATTATACATCTATGGGGCCAAATAGAAGTGGAGAGTAACTATGAAATAGACATACATGTAGACAAAACAAAGAGCTGCAAGATCATTTACAAGGGAATTTTTCTTGTGTGTATGTCCAGGGAGAAAGAGAATTTAATGTGGGATGGCCAATGCACAGCCGAGGGTTACCATCAGCCAGTCCGAAAGTACAGTTGCTCAAAAAAATTAGGAAAAGGGCATCTTAGTTGACTCTGGTGATGCCAAGTGAGCATGAAAGAGTCTATAAGATGGCATAAAGGAAGTGGAGCAGGCCAAAGAAGATCACGAATCAAATCCATGCAATAACAAGAGGTTTGGGCCTCCAAGAGCAGGTTGTATAAACATCTAATGGTAAAATATTGTACTAAAAGTTGTAGTCTTATTATCCTTTGGGTCACAAACAGACATACTGTACCAAGGCAGTATACTACAATAAGAGGAAGGCAACAAACCAGAAGTTCAACTACAGCATATCATATAACAACTCACTGCTCCTACCCACCTTAGTGATAGACCGAGCAAACTGACTTGGCTGTGTATTGGAATCTTCAGAACTGCTCCAACTCTCAACAATTTCTGGCAACCCACGAAGATGAAATAGCAATCTTTCTTTCATAATCTGAACCAGCTTTGAGTGTATCTCATCCTGGTGAATTTTATAATCCTAATAATATGGAGAACAAGAAAGCATCCATTATTAACATGTTTGACATGAAGGCCGAATTATGCATTTAGTTTTACTGCTCTAATCCATTTTGGGACTAAAACTCATAAAACAACCATAAATGCACTTTATTTAGCATCCTATGGTATGAAATCAGATGGATAAAATTCAAGCTGCATTTTCCAATACAAGTTGTTGGACTTTCAGGATTCATGTATCACTTCCTCAATTATTTTCAACAACAACGGAAGATACTTGCAGGTTGTTTTGCTTACTTTTCATCATGTTTTCCAAGACAGAGAAAACCTGTAATAAAGATTTGAAAGCTCAAAATGCAATGACTACACCGAAAGTTTGATAAACTATTAGGTCAAACCACATCAGAAAACCTTATAAAATCCTGATAGCTCAGTACGTTAACCATTTGCATAACTGAGCAGATTCCTAAAGACAACTAAGACAATCTGAAAATTCATATCTTGGACATTTCAAGGTATGAAGTCATGAACATGGACAAAGTAAAACATTGAATGAAGCATTGGCTATAACCAGCAGAATAAAAATACGGCTTTTAGAAGCCTTAAACTAAAAGCTATCAGCTTCTTTATGAGCCAGAAGGCCTTTTAGTATAAAGGAGCGGTTATTGGTGTCAGACAACTAAAACCAATTTTTTTGGCTATAATTAATGTCATCAGCTAATTCCTAGTTGATTCAAAAGAATTATTATTGACTCGTAGTTTATTATCAACAAAGTTCTTTTTTCTTACATATAGATGCATGTGAAACAGAAGAAACATCATGAAATATTGCATACCTGTGTCACTCGATCAAACTCGAATGCAATTACAGTCTTCCGCGTCTCATGTACTTTAGAGAAAAGAATCCTCCTGATTTCTTTTCGATGCAGAGAGCAGTCAGAAACTTAGGCATAGTTTTACAATAGTCAACTGAAAATTAGAGCTTATAAAAATCATGATGATACAGCACAAACAAAATTATGTCTCCTTGAGAAAGAAATGTCTCATTTACATGGTATTGTTCACATAAAGGCAAGGAGATACAGAATATTTTTGTGTATAAATTTTGGTATGCATTCAAGTTTAGCCAGAGTAATCACTAAGCATTCTAGAATGCAGGAATGCCAAAAACTTGAAGTGCAAAGCATATCAAGCAAGGCGGAGGTAATGAAGCTCGTATCCTACACTCTGCAGGACTGAGGTGATATTGGCTGCTTTTATCATGCAATTTCTTGAGAAAGCAGAGCTGGCAAGAAATGGGAGAAGTCGGATGAAATAACAAGGTCAGCTTTAAATAGTTATTCTTTGGTGCTAAGTATATCTTAGAAAATTTAATATTCCAAAAGTAATGTAGCCTCCGATGATGCCATGCATAAGTCTGCCAGCCAAAAACTTTAAAGGTAAAACTACGCGTTGCATTTCAATACATTGTGCTCAAAAAAGGGTAAAATCTCCACATATTCCACTATCTCCTTAAGTTCCAGTTAAAATTACTTCTGTTGGTCAACATAATTCCATTCTCATTTATACAACAATAGATCTTCAACATTTTCCAAGCACTCTTCTTCGTCAAACTAATACACTTTGGGACATAGCACATTACACATGATAACACTAGGCCCGCATCCA